CGGTGACCCCTTTGGAAGAGCAGCCCCGGGGCTGGGGAGGGCACCTGTGGGCAGGGGGGGTGGCAGCACTCCTCGGCTGTGGGGCTGGCCGTTGGAGCCTTTTTCACCTGGAGGGTTGGCGATTTGGTTGGTTTGGTTTGGTTTGGTTTTTCTTTTTTGACGAAAACCAGCCTGAGTTTTTAGAGCTAAATAAACACTGATTTTTCCCATCTCTTCCATCCTCTCTCCCTCTGCCCCCTAAAATATTTTGGTTTACATTTGGCGTGTTTGTTTGCTAGTTTGAAAAGATTGATAAGGAAGGACGATAAAATGAGATCTCGGAAGCATCTGTTGAAAGCACAGGTCTGCCCCATAGAGCATGACCTGCTAGCTCCGTGGGCTCTGGGGCAGGCTGGCTCTGGCATGCTCAGCAGTTTTGGAGAGGTGCAGCTCGGCTTCCCCCAGTTCCCCCCCCTCCGCTTCAGAAACAGGTTTGTTTGTAGAGAAGAGCTTGCTCTCGAAGGGACGCTGTGCTCATGATTTTGTTCAGCCTAGTCATTAAAGTTAGACACGAGCTCCACTGTGAAATCGTCCCAAGCCTCTTCTGACAGTTTGTATTCAAGCAAAGTTTCTCCTGTTGTCTAATAGTGATCAGGCATTAAATTAATAGTATTGGAGTGTTTTTAAAATGTAGATATTTTCTCTTTTGAAACCAACAAGACCAAATACTTGAATTCTAGAAGGAGTAGTTTGGCCAAGAGGGTTCAATAGGGATCAAACCAGGCACCAATCTAATTAATTGTCGTGTATAAGACTTCTTCTAATCCTCATTTCCAACCAGAGAGGACTGTTTTCTGGTTGGGGTACCCTTTCCCCTCCTCCAAGCACAGAGATGAGACTGGAGCTCCAGAGGTTGGCCTCTGACTGGTGTCAGCAGTGGATGTGCTTACCAGGTAAGCATGCCTTCAGCTCCCAGAGCTTTTGGTGGTCCTGGTGGGACCAGACAGTGCTGGCCCTTTTTTTGGTGGTTTATGGCAAGTCCTTATGCCCCAAGAGATCTGAAGGCATGCAAGACCCATCAACCCAGTTCTCAAGTTCATGAATTTGCCATGCGTGGTCCTGTTGTCGCAGCTGTGTGTCTCCACTCACAGCTGGAGATGTTCTGACCACCTCACCCAGTAGACAGGGATTGCTGGTTTCAAGGCTGATCCAGTCACCAGATGTTCCAGGGTACAAGCAAGCATCTTTAAATGTTTGTTGTTTTTTCTCTCTCCCCTAGTGCTGTGTAAATCAGAAGTATCTGGTTTGTAAATCTGCAGATAGCTTCTGCTCCTGATGTGACTTGACTTTATTTTCATAAAGCGTTGATTGCTCTTCACAGAGGCCCTGAGAGTGCTTGGCAGATATTGAATGTGCCGTTACTGTTTTGGGACAGAAGGGCTTTGCAGTTCTGGTTTGTGAACCTTAGACCACATCCCTTTTAGGTATCGGCAGCTGACTAGGGCAAAGCCAGCTGAATTCATTCCTGTTAACCCAGGGCTCTTGTGCATATCCGACATGGCCTCAGAGCTGTCCCTTAAACCCAGTGTGAGGCACTGCGGGATTTTTCGCATGGGATTCAAGTCATCCCTGTCTGCATGAAGAGTCTCTGTTTGCAGAGCTCAGTCCTCGTTGCCATCCTCAAACACTGTGTGCCGGATGGTGCAAGGCAGCATCATTCGGAGGGGACTGAGAGCTGAGTCTCATGTCCTATCCTAGGTAGGGTAAGCGTAGGGAGGGGTGGTAGAGCATCCATCTGCTCATCTATGTGTTTCCATTCGTGCATCTGCACTGTTTCTCTTGCTCCTGTGTAGGAAGGAGGAGCAGAGGCTCAAGCATTTCAGATGTGACCTTAAGTTTTAGTGACTTCTGGTTTTGGGGTGCCTGTGGAAGATGGTCTCTGTGGGAAGCACTGAAGCTGGCTCTTGGCTGCCAACCTGTGCCACTTCATTTCTGAGGGTGGGACAGATATGATCAGCACTTTTAAAACTAATACTCCTTGTAAAGATGCAAACAAACCTCATCTCTCCACTTAAGTAGTGAAGCTGTAAAATGACTTGAATAGTTGTCATTCTCAGATAGTATCGGTATTCAGCAAGGCCATTTCCCTGACTGTGCCTTTGGAAATGCCTCTCAATACACATGCAAATGCAAAGCTTATCAGGCCCCCTTTTTCACTGACAGCAAGAAGTCTGGGAGGGGGAGCTTGCTTGGGACCAGGCATCGATGGAAGAGCAGGGCAGGTGAACGTGAAGAACAAACCTGGGAGCCGAGTGGGTAGAGGAGCTGTTGCGGAGCAGCCCTGGCAGGGAGCATCCTTCCATGTCTCCTGGTGCCGTCCCTGCCTTCCGTGCATGCAGCTTAGATCTCAGCCTTTTTATACTCTTTTCCTGATGATTTTTTTTTCCCCTGGGATAAAACTGAAGGGAAGAAGAGGAGAAAGTGTGGCCTTTCCTTTTTAGGTTGCAAACTTCAGCCTGGTTTGCTGTTGTCTCATGTCTTTAAAACACTGGATAATTAACCAGTGGATAAAGCAGAAACTGCCTGGCCAGCTCAACTACTGTGGCAATGAACAGCCCTCGTGTACTTTCTTACAGAGGGTAGAGGGGATCTCAAATGGATGCAGGGCAGAATTTAGCATCTGTAGTAAGAACACAGCAGAAGCCTTGGACGACTGGTGGGGGCAAGGCATGGTGAGCTGTTTGCTAGAGCGCTTTTGCATATGGAAAACCTAGAAGGTCCTGAAAGGTGCTGCCCCTGCTAGTGGTATCAGTGGAGCTTTTTGTGGTGCTCTGCTTTTCTAGGTGTTAAGCAGGACTGCTTCACTTGTTTAGTGCTTTTCTAAAGGAGTCAAGAGTATGGCGGCTCTTAAACGCTCCCAGGGAGGTAGCTTTTTAATGAAATCTTGGCGAGCAAAGGTGGATTAAATATTTCTCATTTTCTCTTCGGCAGTCCTTTGGAAGTGAGTTGGTAAACCAGGACTTGATTTATTGGCCCCAGTGACCCACCCCAATGTGAGGTGATGAACTCTAGTTCTGTAACGTGAATTCAATATAAATGGTACTAGTTTAAAAAACAAAACCCCAAACCAACCTGCGATCCACCTTTCTTTCACTTTTCTGAAGTCTGTTTACTTTCATAAACTGGCTTTTTGGAAGCTGATACCTGGAGCCTGATGATTAATTACCTGCTTGTAGAAGATAAGGTAGTAAGTATAACTGATAGTGTGAAAACGGCTATTATTAGATGACACATGTAATCTTACGCAGCTCTGGATATTCTGCTGAGAGCCAAGAGGAAATCTGCTCCGTCTGAAAGTAAATGGTGTTTCCGTTGTCCGTGTGTGAGCTGGGACCTGGGCTGCAGGACAGGGGCTTCTGCAAGCTATGTGATTGGAACTGGCCCGTTGCATCCCTGTTGAGTGATATGCCACAGTTCCCAAAAGTCTGCCCACAGATCCAGAACAGAAAGCCAGGCACAGTCGCTGCGTTGTGCTTGTGAGTGCTTTGGCTTCCCTTTCCATGCATGGCGCGAGTCTCTGTGCATATGTAGTCTTTCTGCCCGTCCAGCTTCAGGCAGCCCTGTTGGAGTGATGGACATTTCTACTGCCTAGTTCTTGCCAAAATAAAACTGAATAAAAAAAAAAAAAGACAGTCATATTGGGTGATATTAACAAGACCTGGGGAAGGAAAAAGCCTTCAGGTACCATAGGATATGTCCCTGGCCTCTGAGGTATGTGGGACCATTGGGAGGAGTGACTCCCTGAGGCCAGGGCAAGGGCTTCCACTGGTTATAGCCTTATCTAGATGTGACTGGAACAACTGTTTATCCATCTGCAAGCCTGGAGGCATACAGACTCACGAGCTGGTGTCCTTTTCCTTCCACTGAAGCTGTTTGCTCTGGGTTCCCCAAACGGGCATTTGTTATATTCCAGTTGGGTAAAATGTTCATGCTTTTCTTTATCAACATGAACAGTTGTTTTGTTGTTGGGTTGTTTGTTTTTTTTTTTCATTATTAAAAGCATCAACACTTAACAAGTCATCAGAGAGGCCCAGAAGCAAGCCATGGATATGGCAGACAGCCTGTAGGAGCAGAGACATTAATCTATGGCCTCTTGCTGTTGTCTGCTCCAGCGGAAGAAGAATGGTCTCTCCGGGTGAGGGGGTGGGAAGATCTCTGCTTCTATTGATTCCCACTTGTAAATGTCCACATATTTACCTAGAGGGTATGATATATTACAGTTAAAATGGTGGCAAAGAGAAATGGCCATTCCCTGTAGGTTGGTATTGATTGAATGTGCAGCTACCCTGCACTTATTTCTCCTCTTCTTCACGCACCCTTTAGGCCAAAGTCCTTTGCTTTTTATTAGCGTATTTATAATCAATATATGTATTATTTACTATGACGTATTAATGAGGCCTTTGAGATGAGAAGATGCAGGGGCAGAAGCAAAGGGTGAGGTTCAGCCCATTTAATTTGAGGTATCTCCAATATAGGCTTTAACATCTGCATCCCCTTGGGCTTCCTTTATCGGCCATGTGGAGAAAGGCACTTCCGTGTCATGATTTATGTCAACTGTGTCTGTTTTAAGAGTTGTACGCTAATCGTGCTCTTTCTCTCTGCTGATGGGAAGGCAGCCTAGTTCATATGGAAGGCTAGTTCATATGGAACCACCTAAAGTCTGGTGAGATCAGTCCAATTCAAGGTGTTACGGTGACCATTGTCCACTCTTCCTGTGCAGCTGTCCTAGCCCTGGTGAAAGAGGGGAAATCGCCTTTCTCAGTAGCAGTCAGATGTCA